AACGGCCCCGGCAAAATCGCCCCCCACGCCGCTCCCAGCCCTGCTTCGCCGGCTCTCGCAGCCTGGGGCTCCGTCTGCTCCCGGGCCCCGCCAAGTCTTCCTCTCTGCAGCACGTCCTCTGCCCGGCCCGTGGCAGCGCCGCGGGGCTGCTCCCCTGCATCCCGCACCCTCCCCGCCTCCCTTCGGCTGCCCCTCGGCCAAGCTGCTCCAGCCGCACGAGGCGCCTCAAAGACGCCTTCAGCGGGGACCCTGGGCAACGGCTCCTGCACGGGAGAGGCCACCGATTGTTCTCTGTGCCCTCGACGTAAAAAGACAGCACAAATCCTCAGGATGCAGGTCTCCTGTCTATCTCAGCTCACCAGCACACATCTTATGACTTTTCTTCACAGTGTAAAAGGAGGAATTATTTCCAGAGAGCTCCAGAGAAACAGCACTCACCTGGCAAGGGAGAGTGTCTCTATGAGCTTGCCAAGCCCCAGCAAGCACCACCACTTTCCTCGCACGCACAGCTCAGCACTCCAGACAACTTGCCAAACACCAGTAGCGGCAGCAGCAATATGAAACCCAGGAGGAATAAAAGCCTTCTCCTGCCTAGGTTCAGGCAATTTATTCCTGTTTCTTGTTTAGCCAGAGAGAAGAGCAGAGCAAAGGAGCTGACGCAGGGCTGACAGTGTGCATGACCTGGGGAGGGGGTAGGTCAGGTGGGGTAAGATGGGTGGTCCTGGCAGCCTTGGGAAGGGGGTACCTTCATCCTGGGTGGAGAATTGTGGCCATTTGAACAGCGGCAGTGCCTCTTGGAGGGGGAAAGAGGGCCCATCTGGAGATGCAGAACCCTGCTTCCAGGGCCCCGCTCTGCACTGCTGAGTGGGGCAATGCCAGCAGAGCAAAGGTGGTTGGGCAGCTCAGCTCATCCCACAGAGCATCACCTCTGCAGCACCAAGAGCACATCAGGCAGCTTAGGCAGAAAAAGAGCAGCTGTGGAAACACCATCTCTTCAATGCTTTTGTGCTTCCAGAGACGCATGAGAGAGCTGAGGGAGCATAGCAGGGGCAGCAGTAGACATGGCTAAGGAGAGAGCTGGCAAACGCCTCACCAGGACCACAGCTGGCACAGAAAGTGCCCCAAATAGCAGCATGCAGGAGAGATCACCCCATTACTCCCATGTGTTCACCATCCCCTCTTGAAAGACAGCTCCCAAAGATGGAAGCCAGTTTATTCCCCAAACACCTCAGCTGACTACATCTGTGTTTCCCAGAGCTGGGGAAGGTGATGTTATGCTACTACCACCACACTGGGGAGTCCAGAGCAGGAGCCATTCTTGTCAGGGAAGGCTGGGCAGGGTACAGGCTGCTGCCATCTCCCGGGGTTGAAAGTGCGACCCACAGCCCTGCAGTGGCCTTCCAGCCTCGTAGGGCCAAACCCCATTCACTGGGGAGGAGCCAGTGCTCTCTCAGAAGCTTGGACACTGGGGTGCTCCTGGCCAGACTCAGGTGCTGAGGCTTATCTTGGCTTTATAAAGCACACTGCCTTTGGGCAGCCACATGCTCAGTTCAGAGGGTAAAACAACAGCCTGATTTTTATAATCATCTCTCTTGTTTCCACTTCCCTGATTTTAAGCACAGGGGCCCGGGCAGCAGGACCAGCTGTTGATGACCGCAGGAGTAAGCACAGAGGGACAGAACTTGCTGGACACCTTGCTCTTGCTGACCCCCAGGAAGACACAGTACGGAGACGGAGAAAGCAGCACTTCCCTCACAAAGAGAGAAGCTCTGTACAAAGGCCAGGCATGGAAAAGGCATCAGAGAAGTCAATCAATCCACACGACAGCATTTATTAGCGGTTTTAATGCATCACACAGTAGTGGCAGATGCACTCTGAGAAGAGTTGACTCCGGGACACTTCTGCCTCCAGCCCACTGGGCTGTGCCTGGGCTGGGATCATAGGCAATGCTTGACACACTCTGCAGGGCAGATCTGCACCCTGAATAGATGCTTCGGTCTGAGGCAGTAGCTAGTCAAGTTGAATAGATTGTTTCGTATTCTACAAGAGGCACACTGTGGATAACAGCCTTTAAAGTTCATGGGATTCAGTTCCTTGTGCCAGAGAAGGGAGAGACCAGGCAGAGCCCCTTCCTACACAAAAGCAGCAGGCATGTTCCGTTTCAGTGCTGTTCCCACCACTAACCTGTTGGGACTGCCCTGCACATAGAGTAGCAGCTGGTTTGGGCTCTGTTCTCCTGCCACGGAGAGGGCAGTGCTGTTCTGAGAGGAGTTCCCCTCTCTTTTTTTCCAAAAGGAGTCTTGGTGCATGCAGGATCCTATCAGTCCCTGGGAAGGAGGCAAGGCACAAGGCAACCCCAAGCGATTCAGAGAGGAAGAGAAAACAGAAGTGCAACTCTGAGGGCTCCTGTCCCCAGCCACTTGCTCCTTCTCCTGTTACCAGCCTGCAACAAGTTGCACCTCACTGTGGTGTGCCAGCCACTGCAAGGCAGACACACCCAAGGCCAATGCACAAGTTAATCTGAAGGCTGTTATCCAGAGTGACCCTTTCCCATCACAGCCATCCCATCAGGCACCTGAGCTCCAGACAGGACTGAAAACTTCACCCTCACCACCCACCTCCACCCAAGTCTCTTCTTATATTCTTGCTTTTAACCACTCTTTGATTTCTGGGTTCTACTCAGATAGGTTTTCAGGAAGAAGTTACAAAAGAGTGCCAGGAAAGTGGTATACATCATGGATGAGAGGAAAAACAAAGTCCATGAAATGGGGCAGACCTTATTATCCTTCCAGAAAAAGAGAAAGATGTTCATTATCACAAACCCCGTCATCTGCACCATCTGTGTAATGGTGACTATCTTCCTGATGGATATGGGTATCTGGATGCCTATGGCTGTCACAGCGTAGTAGAAGTACATGATAGCATGGACACTGAAGTTCAAGGCTGAAACCCAGCCGAAACTAGCCACCATATCCTTATAGCTATACCAGCATACAATCAGCGTGATAAGGTGGTGGTACCAGTGGAGGAAGATGAGCTTCTTTTTCCGGAGAACAATGAATACAGTGTCACCTTGGTTTGGGGGAGAGATGCATCATTAGTCAGGGAAAAGCACATAAGTTGCACAAGTTCTCATGTGAGGCAGAATAATCAGGCTTCAATGCTGCAGCCATTACATGGCTTGATCCCACCAAACCCTAGGTTCCCCTTGGAATTCTCTGTATAGTAAAAGACCGTTCAGGTACCCTACCCACTGGCATGTTTGTGGTAGAAGAGCCCCTTGTCCCAGGCTTGCTTACCTATCTCTACCTACACAGCACTTCAGATCAGCTCCTCTTTAATTCTTTGGGTGGAAACTGGGCGGAAAGCCCAGCCCTCCCCTGCCTGCCTGCTGCCACCTCACCACAGACATCCCAGTGAGAATTGCCCAGTCCAGGCAGTGGCCTGGGGATCAAACTAGAGCAGGAGCCCCGTGGAGAGCCATCATACCATCTGAGTTGAGCAACAGGGAGCAAGAAAACGAGTGACATGTGCAAGGCTAAACAACTCTGTTCTCCCAGTAACATTTGGACAGAGACCTGTAAAAACACATCTAGTCGTAGAAGCAATGGAGGTAGAAAGACACAGGATAGGAGAATTTTCAGACTCACCCAGTTCCAGGAGTTTGCTCAGTACAAATAAATAGATCCAAAGCTTGGAGACAGGGTGGATGTGGGGTGATTGACTACACACCGACTGCTTAAATCCCTTGGTAAGGAGGAGGAAGGCCATTAGCTTCCAGACCCGATAGGCTCCAATGGCACTGCAAGAAAACCAGAGGAGAGCTGAACACTGTGCCCAGAGCCTCACCAGAGCCTCCGACTGCTCAGCACTCAAGGATATTCATCTCAATGCCCAAGGCAATCTTGAAGACATTGAAAGAAACTGTTGCCTCCTTAGACTTCCCAGCAGGTTTCAGCCCCCTGTTTGCTGGGCACTGGCTTGCCCAACACCTTTAAGTCAGGATTTAAAACACATATTCCTGCAAGACAGAGCAGAAAACAGGTGCCATTCACACCAGAACAGCAGCAAGTCACAAGGAGAAAGCAGGTTGTGAGCCACCGACACGGGCCTTTGGCTTGCCTGGTGCCATGAAGCTGCTCCTGGAGGGTGACAGAAGCCAAGGTCTGAGCAAAGAGTGCTCTCTCATTACATGCTCTGCTGCCACTGCTTGGAGAGGCACTCAAGAGCAAAAGCTGCCACACCTGATTAGAAAAGGGGGACAATTCACATGGGCCACAAGGACATGCCCAGGGAGCATTACAACTACCTGTGGTAGGCGGTTCCTACAGCTTATGAGAAGAAATACCACTTCTTCTTTGTTATCAACACATACATTTTGTCAACATGACCTTGTCTCCCAACAGATCTTGAACAGGCATCCTCTGACCTCCCCTCTCCCACAGCTTGTGATTTTACAGACCACTGCCATGCCCTGCCCTAACAGAGGACAATCAGCATCTCTTAGATTTGACCAAAGCCAACTGGAGTTACAGAGGCAGTGGCAGACTTTGGCTTTCTCTCACCAAACAGACAGAAGAGGTCTGGAGACGAGGGGAATTTTGGAAAATCGAACTCTGCCTGTGTAATTACAGAGGTTGAAACTGCAGGAAACCAGTACCGGAAGACTGGACAGTTTGAAAACACAGATTTTCGATTGATATTTGCGAGCATACCAGAATTTTCCCCATCTCCACCACAACAGGGAGAGAGAAAGGTGGGGGGAAAATATTCTAAAGTATTCTAAGAGTGCTAGACCTCAAATCGAACTTGTAATTGACAGGTATCCCTCGAATGAGGGAGGATCTCTGCTCTTGGATGCTCCACATTGAAATCTCTCCACAAATGATGTTCAAGCACAGTTCCCAGTGTTCCTTCTCAATTCATTTGACGTGCTGGAGTATTTCTGGTGAGAAACAAATTACTTTTACGAGCACATTACTTCCTCTAGTACAAAAAGGCTTTCAACAGGGAAAAAAATAGATTAATTTCCCTAATGACATGGCAGATACCCAGACCTTTCCATCAACCCAGACCTGACGGAATGTCTCCAGCTGTCTTCAGCTTTAGCAAAGGCTCTTACCTGAAAATGGACAGACTGAAGGACCACAGGGCCAGGGGTGCACGCAAGTGGAAGGCTTCACGTTCCTTCATGAAATTCTGGATTCCAAAGATCAGGATAAAATAAGTAACACCAAAAATTAAAGCTATATGCCTGCAAGTAGAGGAGAGAGAGCAGTCAGGAAAAGACCCAAACTGACCTCTTTTCAGCCAGATGTCTGTAACCCCAGCAAAGCACTCTCACAAAAGATCAACAACTCAGCAGAAGACCTCCCATTCTTGTGTTAAGGTTGGACTTGGTCACAAGAAGCCTGCCCTGACAGGGAGCAGAGCTAACAAGGAAAAACCCTGGGGACAGCAGAAATGTGAGCATTTACATCATGGAGATTTCCAGAGGACCTGGATGGGATAAGGCAGATTCCTGTGTCCTGTGAGCAGGATCCTGTGCTAATACATCAATGGATTTTATCCCTTCACACATCAGACCCCGCGAGCAGAGGCCAGTTGCACCAACAGCT